CTCTGATATACCAGCGCCGCTTGGTCAAACTGGATGCCGAATACCTGAGATACTTCGACACTGAGAAGGTGAATCTGATTGGTTAAAGTCACGTTTGTAGTGTCAAACTCTTTGTGGCATGTAAAAAGACCTGCTGTTCTTCAGTGCTGAACGAATGCATCTCACCGCACGTGTCCTTTAACATCCACTGCTGATGGGACGATTAAACGCCTCTGTGTGTGTGTGTGTGTGTGTGTGTGTGTGCAGGACGTCTATTCGAAGAGGATCATCCCTACAGTGTCCATCACCGGCGTGGTCAACGTTGGCGAGCAGAAGTTTGAAGTGGTGACGCACAATCGCACTTTCTTGTTCCGAGCCGAGAGCGATTGTGAGTGTACAGACTGTGTGTGTGTGAGTGTGTGTGTGTGTGTGTGTATGTGTGTGTGTGTGTGTGTGTGTGTGTGTGTGTGTGTGGCGCTGTGAGTGTGTGTGTGTGTGTGTGTGTGTGTGTGTGTGTGTGTGTGTGTGTGTGTGTGTGTGTGTGTGTGTGTGTGTGTGTGTGTGTGTGTGTGTGTGTGTGTGTGTGTGTGTGTGTGTGTGTGTGTGTGTGTGTGTGTGTGTGTGTGTGTGTGTGTGTGTGTGTGTGTGTGTGTGTGTGTGTGTGTGTGTGTGTGTGTGTGTGTATGTGTGTGTGTGTGTGTTGTTTAAAGCAGGTGATTAAGTGTGTTTGCGAAAGAGAGTGATGGTGAAGAATAAACAAATAAAATATTGAATTTTATTAAATTTTTATTTTTAAATAATGGTAAAATATAAGTTATAAATAATATAATAATACTAACAATATTTAATGTATAAGTGTTTATTTTGTTTGTTTTTATTTTTAATTATTATGATTAATTTATTTTATTTTTTTATTTAAAATGTTTATTATAAAATGATTATATAATATTATATATATAATATATATATATATATATATATATATATATGATATATAATGATATATATATGTAAAAGACTGTGTCAATTAGCAAATGAAAATACCAGAGATGGCTTAAAGAACTCAGATAAACTATACATTGTCGCAGTTGTGTTTATTGTCTTTGTTTTATCATTCAAAATGTTTATATGTTCCGTTTACTCAGTTACAGCTATAACAGCCATGCCTTTGTCCATATAAGGGATTTCCTGGAGGGTCATGAGTTCTCTACTTCTGTGGCTGGATATGTGGATTTTCTGTGTGAGGGCGCCCTCTGGCGTCCAGTATGAATGAAACAGACATCATGTGTTTATAGTGCTAATGGCCAATCCATCATATTTTGGGGAATTTTTATTTATTTATTCTATTTTTAATAAGAACCGTTTAGGCACCGGAACCGTTTTAAAAGTATCGATTTGGCACCGGTATCGAAAAAACCCCCAAACGATACCCAACCCTATGCATATTAGATACATGTTCTTAAATCTGACAGTAATATTCACAGTTAATCAAACATTCAACTAGACCGTTTCAACAGTGCAGTCACAGGACTTAAACATATTACACGTGCAAAAAAATAAACGCAGTCGCTTTGATACAGTATGCAGGACATGCACTGAATTAATGAGAATCAAAGGATGAAATGACTGATGTGTGTGTGTGTGTGTGTCAGTGGAGCGGAGCGAGTGGGTGACGGTGTTGAAGAGCTGTGTCGGGGTGTCCCACGCACGCACCAGTCTGGACATGACCTTTAACCCCTGCGTGAGCTACGAGATGAAGGGTTACCTGGAGCTGCGCGGCCTGCGCTCCAAACTCTACACGGTGGTGTGTGCGGATAAAGTCTTCCTCTACAAAAACACCGAGGTAAACCCTCAATCTGTCTGTTTTTAGAAATAACACTTAACTCTAGTCGCACTACTGACTTTAAAATAGACTTCAGCAGCATAAACAGCTGAGCTTAAAAATGCTTTTGTTGCACAGTAATGAGTTATTATAGCAACAGAATGCTGCATCATTTGCTCATGAATTCATTTCAGTGAATCAGCTCATTTAGACAACAAGTGAACAAGTGGAAAAAAAAATGTTTTTATTAATTTTTATTTCAGTTTTTGTTATTTCAGCACAACAAGTTAAACTAAATGACAATTGGAAATGTTGCCTTGGCTGAAATAAGATATTTTTTTATTTAATATCAGTTAACAATTATTGCATTTCAAGTTTTAGTTAATTATAATAACCCCGAAGTTCAAATAAAATGATTAATTGATTCATTTCATGATCACATTTATGCCTGCACATCGTTTTTACATATTTTGCTGTCTTTCATACAAAAACATTATATAAATTAGGGTTTAATTATGACTTTTAATTGCTTGACATGATTGGACTGTTATAAATTTGCATTACTTGCATATGTTTGTGTGTGTTAAAGATGAGAGCTGTTACTTTTGTCTGATTGTATTGATCAGTGTTATATTACATAATTTTAAAACTGCATTTGAGTTTGTGTATACATTATAGATTAGGAATGTTAGTAAAAAATGATAAACATAGTAATTTATAGGATTGTGCTTGTGTGTGTGTGTGTGTGTGTGTGTGTGTGTGTGTGTGTGTGTGTAGGATTATCGTCTGGGAATCGGCATCACCTCGATCGATATGAATGTTGGTAATGTGAAGGAAGTGGATCGGAGAGCGTTTGATCTGACCACAGCGTACCGCATATTCAGGTGAGACTTTCACTCGCTCATTCATTTGTTCATTCACATTCATGCATTCATCACTGCTCAGCTTCCTGTTCAAGATTTCTCTCCGTCCATCATGCATTCATTCATTCATTTTTCTGTTGATCTTTTTTTCTGCTCTCTTCATCTATTTTATTCAAGTCACTGTGAGTCTGTTCATCCGGTCAGCTGAAATAACTCTGTGTGTGTGAGAGAATATATGCATGTGATACAGTGACTGTGTGTGTGTGTGTGTGTGTGTGTGTGTGTTCTGGCTCCGTCTCTCACATCTGTTGTGGTTTTGTATATTTATACTTGTTTGCTGAGTGTTTTCGTCCTCTGTGCTGCTCAGTGAATCTGAAGAAACTTATTCACATTCCACCAGAATAAAACAAAAAAAACTTGCATATAAAAAATAAGTATTAGATGTAACAAAAAAAAACCTACAATTAGAAGTGAATTCAAATGAATATAAGTTTCTAAAATGACTAAAACTAAACCTGAAATAATTTTTTTTTTTTAAATTAAAATTAAATTGGAGTAAAAAAACATAACAAAAATTACTAAAACTTAATTACAATTAAACAATTCAATTGAACTCAAAATATAAAAATAAAAGTTTATTTAAAATATCAATTAATTCTAGAGTTTCTTAAAAAGTTTTAATTCACTATAAATTAAGGACTTAAAAAGTCTTAAATCAGAGCAGAAAGTCTTAAGTTCATAAAGTCAAGGCATTAAATGTTTCATGTACTGTAAAAAAGTATTTCTGTCTTGTTTTCCAGTACAAATATCTAAACATCCTTAAATCAAGATACATTTACTAGAGATGCAAAATGATATGAAATCTTGCTTTCTGAGAAATGTATAATTAAAACAAGAACAAATATCTGCCAATGGAGTCAGAAAAATAATCTTATTTTCCCTTTGAATAGATATCTTTCCTGACCGCATTGGAAGAAATTTGTTCTTGTTTTAATCATAAACTCACTACATTTAGTTAAATTTCTTTGTGGCCCCTTCCATTTATTCCTTCCATTTTCTTTACTTGGTCTTAAAAAGGTTTTAAAGGTGACATATCATGAAAATCTGACTTTTCCAGATCTTAAGTGCTATAATCAGGTCCCTGGTGCATCTACCAACCAAAGAAACGTGAAAAAGATTAACCCCGTAACTTTGTTTTGGTAAGCCTTTTTCTGCAAGTGTCTGAGAAAGAGAACTTAGTTTAGTACTCGCATGCTGTGACAGCCGCTTTTATGTGTGTGTGCTTCGGATGTGCGCTCTCAGAAAACCCTATATCAGAAGTTCAAACTCATATGGTTTAAAACGCATGATTTCAGCGCGATAAACATGATAATCAGAACCAAAACAGATGTTTTTAGCAGGTGAGAGCTGTAATAGCGCAGCTCTATTCTGGAAAAGGGGGCGGGGAGCAGCAGCTCATTTGCATTTAAAGAGACAGGCATGAAAAACAGCGTGTTTCTGCTTCCACTCAAAATAGGCATTTTCAAAATGTTATAATAAATTATCTGTGGAGTATTTTGAGCTGAAACTTCACATTCTGGGGACACCAGCGACTTATATTACATATTGTAAAAAGGGGCATAATATGTCTCCTTTAAAAAGTCTGCGTGTCTGTAGTTTTGTAGCGGATACGGACCAGCTGAAGGGTCAGTGGGTGGAGGCCATGCGCAACTCTGTCGCAGAGGCCTTGTCCAATTATGAAGTTGCTGAGCGCATCTGGATGGAGCCGTCCAATCAGATGTGTGCCGACTGCAGCGCTGCCAAACCTGAGTGGGCCGCCATCAACCTGGCCGTGGTTTTCTGCAAGCGATGCGCAGGTAACGACCAATCATGAGGAAAGCTGCTTTACAAGCTTTTGTGAAATAACATGCGCCAACCATCTTCCATTTTAACTTGTAATAAGAAGCGCATAGGTAACACTTTCCATTTGTTAACATGAACTAACAATGAAAAATACTTTGAAAGCATTCAAGCTCAGCTCATATTAACCTAAATTATTAAGCATTATTAAAACCCAGTGTTTTATTTGTTAATATAAATGAATGGACCTAAGCTAACATGAACTAACAATGAACAGTTGAACTTTTATTAATTACCAGTAACAAAGATTACTAAATACTGTAACAAATGTATTGCTCATATTTAGTTAATATTAGTTCATGCATTAATAATGTTAACTAATGAACCTTATTGCAAAGTGTTACCTGCGCATATCAACAAAACAGAAGCTTTAAGGGCTTCCTGTGGTTTTACATCAAAATAAACGTTTGTTTGAAAATGAAGAAATTAAGACCATAAATATTAGTAATTACTGTACAGTAGCGTGAAATAAATTATTATTATTATTATAATTATTTAAATACTCAATTTATTTATTACATTAAAATATTACAATTAATTTCTTATTTATTTATTTTTGCTGCTATATTATTATTATTATTATTATTGTTGTTATTTAATGAAATACTTGTAATTAAATACAACATTTTTATTGCATTGAAATATTACAATTACTATTTCTTATTTGCTTTATTTAGTAATTTTTTATATTTTTAATTAGTAGTAGTAGTAATAATTTATTTTTTTTGCAAAAAAAATAATTTTTGCATAAATATATATAATTATATAATTATTGCTATTATTACTAAGTATATTATTATTAAATGCAGCCTTACAAATAAGCATAGCAACCCTGGATTTTTAAAATCATTTTAAATTGCAATCGCAATTTTTATCATAAAATTGCAATTAATTTCCCCCCACCAAATTGTGCAGCCCTATTTCTGCAGCTGTCTGGTTGTGTTTGTCTGTGACAGGAGAGCATCGCGGTCTCGGTCAGAGCATATCTAAAGTACGCAGTCTCAAAATGGACAAGAAGGTCTGGACTGATGATCTCATCCAGGTGTGTTTTGTGTTTATGTGATTTTTTTTCTTCTTCTGTTGTTCTTGACGTCCTTGCACTCCTCTTCATCAGTCCTATCCTTGTGTCCCAGCTGTTCCTTGCTCTAGGAAACGAACGAGCCAATCAGTTTTGGGCGGCAAACGTCCCTCCCAGCGAGGCCTTGACCCTGAACAGCAGCAGCGAGGAGCGACGCCGCTTCATCACGGCAAAATACCGCGAGGGGAAATACCGCCGATATCACCCGCTGTTCGGAAACCAGAGAGAACTCAATAACGTAAGTGTCAGTGTGATCACAAAACAACTAGTGTGCGTGAGTCCAGCACGTGTATAAACTGTAGTTGGGTTAAATTGTTTGTGAATGAACTCAAAGCTGTGAAGGACAGACTTACAGTCCGTTCAATGGGTTTGTACGGGCAAAAACATTCCTTTTTCATGCACTGGTCAATTTTGAGATTTTGGTCTATTTTATTTTATTTTATTTTTTAACATGTTGTTTCAGACTAGTGGAGAGAAAACATCCAAAATACACTTTTAAGTGTTTATTTTATTGCACTTTATCTATTTGCATATGTAGATTTCAATTAAAATACATATCTTTAAAAGTTTTTTCTCCACTCCAGCAGCACTTACATACACCAAAACTTACAGTTTTATTCCTCTCTATATTCTGAAGGTTTTTACTGCAGGGTTTGTTCATATATCATTCACACTCATTTATATAACATTTTATTCCTAAAAACATGGTGAAAATGCATATTTTTAAAGGCGGTGAGTTTGTTTCTCCACTTCAGCAGCACTTACACACACCAAAACTTAGGGTTTTATTCCCATCTATATTCTGAAGGGTTTTACTGAAGGGTTTGTTGATATATCATTCACCTGGTTTTATTATTGCACTTTATCTATTTACATCTATAGGTTTAAATTGTATATCTTTAAATATTTAAATATATTTTGTCAAAATGAGTTTTTTCTCCACTTCAGCAGCACTTACAAACACCAAAACTTAGGGTTTTATTCCTCTCTATATTCTGAAGGGTTTTACTGAAGGGTTTGTTGATATATCATTCACCTGGTTTTATTATTGCACTTTATCTATTTACATCTATAGGTTTAAATTGCATATCTTTAAATATTTAAATATATTTTCTCAAAATGAGTTTTTTCTCCACTTCAGCAGCACTTACAAACACCAAAACTTAGGGTTTTATTCCCATCTATATTCTGAAGGGTTTTACTGAAGGGTTTGTTGATATATCATTCACCTGGTTTTATTATTGCACTTTATCTATTTACATTTCAATATCGTGATAATACCGTATACCGTGACAAAAGCATTAGCAACTAATCGCAACATGAAAATGTGATACCGGCATATCCCTAGATGTGAACTATAAATACTGGCATTAGTTGATGAAGTCGGTCTTTGGAGTTTGGATGATTTATTAGTAATGTGGGGAGTTTTCAGTCTGTGATCTTTTACTCAGATCTTGTTTATTGTTCTTTTAGTTTGTTTAATGTGTGTGTGTGTCTGTGTGTGTGAGTGTGTGTGTGTGTGTGTGTGTGTGTGTGAGAGAGAGTGTGTGTGTGTGTGAAGTTCTGATGAGATGATTCATTTGTATGAACACACACACACTCACACACACACAGGAAGCTTTCACTGCAGTCCACCAAAACAACACAAAACCAATCACAGCATGATGTGATCTGCTTCCTAAAACACACACACACACACGCTCACGAGCTCCCAGGATTCCTCTGTGCTGTTTCAGTGGGAAGAGGAGAAATGGACAGACAAAGAGTCCATTCACTCACATAGAGAGAGAGAGAGCGAGACGGGCTAATGACAGACAGACAGATGCAGCAGATAGAATCCTCTGATGTGAGATCTTTAACAGCATTATGATGTATCGTACAGGCCACCATGAGTGACCTCTGACCTTTCCCATAGTTCTGCATCACTGGTTTTTCTGCAGGACTCAGATTGTATATTGGACATCAACCTGCGACCAATACCGTATCAGAATTATTTGATCAAAAAGAGTTTTCTCTTCACTTTAAAAGCTGATGTATTCATATTTTATAATCTTGTTTTGGTCTTAAAAGAAACCGGAATATCTTTCTTCTGTTTTGAATCATTCCTGCATCAGATTGCTAAAGGAATCAGACTGAAGGAGAGAGAGACAGTTTCAGGTTTGCTGATCAGACTGTGACTAAGCTCCGCCCCCAGCTCCTAGTGCAGTTATTTATCTGACCCCGCCCACTCACCTATAGGCTCCGCCCACACTGCCCCTCTCTGCTCTCATTCGCTCCTCATTCTCTCATTCTGTCATTCGGTCGGCTGTGATTCACATCAGTGTGTGTTTGTGCAGCTCTGCACTGCGCTTATACATTTCACACACACACACACACACACAGAGGGGTTGAGGGGTGACCTTTGAACTTTCAACCTCGTGCCAATCAGCTGGGTGAGTTGTTGCAGTATTTTCTGTCATTGTTGTTTAAAATGTGTTGGGTTTTCTCAAGTGTGATAGAGTGCTTGTGTGTGTTCTGAGTAGTGCTGGGCGGTATGACCAAAAATTTATATCACGGTATTTTTCAAAATTATACCGGTTTCACGGTACAAGACGGTATTTTTTTTCATGCATGACCGGGTGCTTTTTAAGTCTGTGTTGTAAGAGTGTTTTAAGTGTGCATATGATTTAAATGTGTTTTTTAAGTGTTGGGGGGGGATATTAGTATTACTGGAAAACACACATCATATTAGACACACATGTGCTGTGCTGTGTGTGTGTGTGTGTGTGTGTGCTGCAAGACTAAGGAATGCTAAGACAGACCCACCCAACAATATACAGAGCGAGAGAATGAGCAGGAGACCATGATTGTGTGTCTCTCTTTACATTCTTTGTGAAGCAGCAGTTTTACTTTCCTCAATGGACAGCTTTGTGTGACACACACACACACAGACACACACACACACACACACACAGACACACAC